CAGCCTGGCCAGCATGGTGAAACCCCATCTCTACTAAAAAGACAAAAAATTAGCCGGGCATGGTGGCGCGCGTGCCTGTAGTCCCAGCTACTCGGTGGGAGGAATGAATGGTGGGGTGGCCCATGTGGCTAGATGGACGTCAGGCCAAAGGAGGTGGGGACAGAGGCCAGAGAGATCAGAGGGCCAGGGCATGCGGGCCTGGTGGGCTATGGGAAGTTGGGGCTTAAAGCCGTTGGCACTGGGGAGCTCTGGGGAGGTTGAGCACTGGAGAGGACCTTTCCCACACTGCCTGGAGAAAGGCCCCGGGGCAGCTCTTCCGTTCACGAAGTGGGTGCTGAGGCCCAGATTGTGCGGAGGGCTTACCTGAGGCCACGCAGCTAGGGGGAGGGCCTGCCTCAGTTTCCCCGGGACAGGGGCTCACCAGGTCTCTCCCCTCGCAGCCAGGCTCTCCCGGCTCTCGCTGGCGCTGCCGCCGCTCACGCTCACGCCGTTCCCGGGGCCGGGCCCGCGGCGGCCCCCGTGGGAGGGCGCGGACGCCGGGGCGGCTGGCGGGGAGGCCGGCGGGGCGGGGGCGCCGGGGCCGGCGGAGGAGGACGGGGAGGACGAGGACGAGGACGAGGAGGAGGACGAGGAGGCGGCGGCGTCGGGCGCGGCGGCGGGGCCGCGGGGCCCCGGGAGGGCGCGAGCAGCCCCGGTGCCCGTCGTGGTGAGCAGCGCCGACGCGGACGCGGCCCGCCCGCTGCGGGGGCTGCTCAAGTCTCCGCGAGGGGCCGACGAGCCAGAGGACAGCGAGCTGGAGAGGAAGCGCAAGATGGTCTCCTTCCACGGGGACGTGACCGTCTACCTCTTCGACCAGGTGCGGAACCCGCGGGGGCGCGGCCTGGAGGGAGCCGGAGCCTGGAGCGGGGCGGGGCCTGGAGAGAGGCCGAGCTTAGAGTTGGGCGGGGCCTGGTGGGAGGCAGAGCTGGAGTGGGGCGGGGCCGAGCTAGGGTGGGGCGGGGCCTGGAGGGAGGCCGAGTTAGGGTGGGGCGGGGCCTGAAGGGAGACCGAGCTGGAGTGGGGCGGGGCCTGAGGCGGGGCCTGGAGGGAGGGCAAGCTGAAGTGGGGCGGGACCTAAGGGGAGCTCGAATCTAGAGTGGGGTGGGGCCAAGCTAGGGTGGGGCGGAGCCCGGGGCGGGGCCTGGAGGGAAGTCGATCCTAGAGGAGCAGGGCCTGGGGCGGGGCCTAGACGAAGGCTGAGCTTAGAGTGGGGCGGGGTCTAGAGCAGGGTTTGGAGGCAGGCTGAGCCTAGAGCGGGGGCGAGGCCTGGAAGGAGACCGCGCCTAGGATCGGGGCAGAGTCTGGATCGGGGCCTGAGGGAGGCCAAGCCTATGGTGCGGCAAGAGGAGGCCTGGAGAAAGTCCACGGCTGGAATGGGGGCGGAGCCTAAGGCGGGGAGGATCGAGCAGGGCGCAGGCAGGGCCTAGGGGTTGAAGGCGGGCTCTGGGAAGAGACTGGTCAGGGAAATGGGGCGGGACTAGGAAGATGGGAGGAGGCTTTGAGTGTGAGGGCAGGCCTGACAGTGGGGCAGGGCCGGGAGGACGGGCCGAGCCTAGAGCTGGGGTGGGACCTAGGGTGAGGGCAGGGCTTGTGATGGGGGCGGGGTGTAGAGGGCGAGGAGAGGCCTGGAGAGTGAGGGTGAGTCTGGAAGGAAAGAGGGGGTACTGGGTAGTCAAGTATGGGATCCTGGAGAGACTAGGGAGGAAGTGTTGAGAAGAGGAAGTGTTGAGAAGTGGCCTGGATGGTGTGGTCGGGGCCTACTGAGAGTTTGGGCATTGTTTGTTGACTAGAGTTCTAGTATCTGTAGGGCTGGTTCCGGAGGGAGCAGATCTTACCCACTAGGGAAGGGCCATGGCTAGGCTGCAGGTGGGCTTCAGAGATGCAGCAGGCAGTCTTAAGGTATTTTGGGGTGGGGTCAGGGATGAGCGAACCTAACGACTGGGACGGGTCTTTAGAGAGATGGGTAGAGGATTGTGTTAAGAGTTAGGCCAGTCGCGAGTGGCTCACGCCTGTAATCCCAGCACTTTGGGAGGCCGAGGCGGGAGGATCACTTGAAGCCAGGAGTTCGAGAGCAGCCTAGCCAACATGGTGAGACCTCATCTCTTAAAAAGAAAAAAATTACCTTGGTGTGGTGGTGCGCATCTGTAGTCCCAGCTACTCGGGAGGCTGAGGTGGGAGGATCGCTTGAGCCCGGGAGGTTGAGGCTGCATTGAGCCATGATCACAACACTGCTCTCCAGCCTGGGCGACAGTGAGACTCTGTCTATAACAAAAAGAAAAACACAGATGGTGTTGAAGAGAAAAAGGGAGGGCGAATGGTGCTGAGGAACTGGGGCCTTGTCTAGATGAACCTGGGGCGGGTATACCGGGCTGAAATTGTGAGAGAAATGGAAATAAGGCCAAGAATTGGGGACTGGGCCACTGAAATATATTAAGAGGGGTGGAACTTGGAGGGCGGGGAGCAGGTCTACTTCTGAGGGAGGGTTCGGGGGCAGGGTCACTGCGTCCAGCATGGGATGCGCTCAGGATGGGGCAGGGGTTGGGAGGGCCACTGGAGCAGGTCTAGATCTCAGAGGTGGGTGGGACTGACAGGGACGGGGTGGGGCCTATAGAGATCGCCTTGGGTTAGGGGATCGGGTGGAGGCCGCGCGTTAATGAGCCAGGAGAGAATCCTTACGCTGGGCTACTTAGCTGTGCGTGGGGCTCAGCTGTCAGGTAAGTAGCCTCGGGCCAGGTTGAGGTTAAGGCTGGCCCGAGGCTTCGAAGCCAGATTAGGGGCTCCAGCCACCCCTCCAGAGCGTGTGATTATAAATTGGGATTCCTAGAGCCCCAGAAATATTAGCCAGTTTTGTTGCTTTTGGGGGATGCGGTAAATGGGACGTGACGGTTTGTCCCCTCTGGCTTCCCGCTAATCTGCCTTCACAGGAGACGCCAACCAACGAGCTGAGCGTCCAGGGCCCCCCCGAGGGGGACACGGACCCGTCAACGCCTCCAGCGCCCCCGACGCCTCCCCACCCCGCCACCCCCGGAGATGGGTTTCCCAGCAACGACAGCGGCTTTGGTGAGGGCGGGCCCAATGGGGCAGGAGGGGGCGGGAGCCATGGGGCGGACGGGGCGGGGCCTATGGGGTGGGAGGGGCGGGACCGGAGGGCTGGAGCGCCGCAGGTGCCTGCGGCCTGACTGCGGTCTTCTGCCGCAGGAGGCAGTTTCGAGTGGGCGGAGGATTTCCCCCTCCTCCCCCCTCCAGGCCCCCCGCTGTGCTTCTCCCGCTTCTCCGTCTCGCCTGCGCTGGAGACCCCGGGGCCACCCGCCCGGGCCCCCGACGCCCGGCCCGCAGGTACCATATCCTCGGCCCTGCCCCTCCTCTGCCCATCTCTGTCTCCTTATGTTCCACTGCCAACTTCTTGTGACCATCTTTCAATGTCCCTGCCTCTCTCTTCCCAGTCTCTTCTCTCTCCCCTCTCAGTCAACAGACACCCCACCCAGCTCTGGAACCAGCTCAGACCAGGTGATGTCCATCAGACGGTCGTAGGCAGGCAGGCCGGCTGTCCCCAACCCCTGAGCCTCAGTTTCGCCTTCTGTGGGGATTCCCCCCACCCCCAACTCTTGCCCATCTTTGTCCCATCTCTGGGCTCAGACTCCGGTCTGGCACTTGCCGGATCCTGATCCCACCTCTGGGGAACACGGTGCTCAGGAGCAGACAAGGAGAGAGAAACCCAGAGTGCTCAAAGCCGGCTGGTGTGAACCAGAGCAGGGAGGACACAGCTGGGGGTTAGAGAGCAGTCACAGCGGCACCGCTGCTGATCGCGTGGACCCTGCTGCAGTGCCTCACACAGTTTAACCCATTTAATGTTCATGCGATCCATGGGGTGGATTCTAGTCTCGTCCTCATTTTTTTTTTTTTTTTTTTTTTTTTTTTTTTTTTGAGATGGGAGTCTCGCTCTGTCGCCCAGGCTGGAGGGCAGTGCTCAACGCAACCTCCGCCTCCTAGGTTCAAACGAATTCTCGTGTCTCAGCCTCCCAAGTAGCTGGGTTCACAGGCATGCACCACCACGCCCAGCTACTTTTTTTGTATTTTTACTACAGACAGGGTTTCACCATGTTGGCCAGGCTGGTCTCTAACTCCTGACTTCAAATGATCCGCCCACCTCGGCCTCCCAAAGTGCTGGGATTACAGGCGTAAGCCACCGGGCCTGGCCAATCTCGTCCCCATTTTACAAACGAGAACA